TATTGTGCGAGCAGCTGCAGGAGATGGTGTCTGTAGCCCCGGTTTCACACCGAATGCAGGGAAAGTTTCTGATTTTGATGAGTCACGCTCGACCACATCATGCTAGGGCGACGGCTGAGGAGCTGGAAAGGCTCGGGGTTACCTGGCTGCCCCACCCCCCATATTCATCTGATCTTAGTCCTTGTGACTACCATGCTTTCAGAAGCCTGGAGGCCTACACGAAAGGGAAAAAATTCAACAATCGTCAGGAGGTCAAACATGCAGTGGATGAATGGATCGCTTCACGCCCTTCTTCTTTCTGGATGAATGGCATCAGTGCTCTGCCCAGTCGATGGAGGGACGTCGTGGCTAAAGAGGGCCACTATCTCGATTACTGATCTCACCTTTTTATTGTAGTATTTTTGTGTTGAACAAACCAAGTAAATTTTCTCAAATTTTTTCGGACACCCTAATAATTGTGAAGAACTGGTGGCATGGAATTATTAAAAGAACAGTAATTAGATATTGTAAAACGAAAATAGGCAAAGTACATATGGGTGGGTCTCCTGAAAGGAGCAAGTCTTTATGAATTCCGCCCACTTCAATTAAGCTACCCATTCTGCTGCCGTTCGAGAGGAGGAACCGGAGGAGGAGGAGAGTGCTACAGTGGAAGATCCCAAAAAAGAGGCCATTTGAAATGAGACTAATACCAGTGTTTCGTGTGATGAGTTCGAAACCGCTTTTCAAATTCGAAAAAAAAAATGTTCTAACGACCACTTTGGCTCGGAATCCTTCCCAGGTAAGCTGTACATTGGAACTCCTCCAGTTTCCATATTCATTAGATGCGCGCTTACATGCAGCTCCAAATCCAGATTGAAATCGAATACATGGCGTGCCAGAAAAGAGAGCAATCGATACGGATACCTCTAGTACTTTCAATTATCTTCATATGACACTAATATTTGATATCCATACACCCTGTAAAATCTTAGACCGTTCCTGAAGTAAAATAATCAAAACTAAACTCGACCAATACACTCAACCTCTATACTTTTCATGTTGCGTGCATTAAAATTTATTTAATGATACACCAAATTTCTTACTGGTACTTATAATGACACGATTACAGGTGGCATTCAAGTAATCTCGTCGAACACTATGAAAATCGCAAACGAAGCTTTCAAAATGCTATCGGGAAAAGCTCATTGGAACGGAAAACCAGCAGTACGAATTTATGGTTGGAAGGATGCCAAAATGCAAGGCCCAATTGTTACATTCAATCTGCTGCGGGACGATGGGAGCTTCACGGGTTACTCTGAGGTGTGTGAAAGTAGTATGAATATTGCAGTGAAATGAGCTGTCCACTATGATAACAAAATTACAAAAAGGAGAGCACTCTGAGATTTGCTGGAACATAAGTGATCAATACTAATGCAGTAATTACTTGTTAGCTTAACTGGTACACTACAGGACACATAGATATGTCACTTCGTTGTAATGGGTGATGATGGTTGGTACCCATGAATCGGGGCTGGACACTCCTTCTTCACCTCAGTATTGCTTTCTGCGTCCACCTAAGGAGGGGAGGGAAGAACTGAAAGAGGGTGGGGTTCGAGAGGCGTGGCATCCTCACTCATTTAAAATTGAATTCTATAACGAGGAGGAATCATCAGAAAATCAGACAGACCCATCCGATAAAACCTAAACGGAAAACTTCCTTGGGACTATACATATATTTCGCATTCAAGGTACAAAATTGTTTCTACAGGTCGCAAAGATGGCTAGCTTGTACGGTATAGATCTTCGAACGGGATGCTTTTGTAATTCAGGAGCTTGTCAAATGTATCTAGAACACTCAAATGATCAGCTACGCCATTACTTTGAGGTACATGACAGTATAATTAACTATTAGCCTAGTATCGTACTGCAGGACAGTTCATATACTTTAGGGAGGCAAGGAATGCGGTGATTCCATGGACCTGATGGACGGTAGGCCAACGGGAGCTGTTCGGATTTCATTTGGAAGGCAGTCCACGGCGGAGGTTTACTACTACATACTTCCAATACAAACAGGTTTTATGTGGTTTTTATCAACAACGATTTCAGGATGTCGATGCCTTGGAACAGATGATTGACTACTGTTTTCTTGGCGTTCAGTTACCAATCGATATCGATTCCCCACTGAAGATCACTAGTTATTCAGCTGTTGTCTCACGTATTGTTATTTATCCAGTAAAAAGTTGCAGAGGAATTGTTCTGGACAAGTAAGTCTCTTCTGTGCAAAAAAGAAACACCACTTATACTAATTTAACTAGTGAAGATATTTCGCAATATTCACGAACGCATGGTCGCATTGAGATCGGTATATCTGGGAAGCGTGCGTTTGCGGCGCGTCCACCGCGGTTTAAATGACGATTCGTTTTATTACTTCATTACTGCTGTTGATAAGACTTCCACTAAATTAGTGTCAATCAATCCCGTTTGTGGGATGCGCCCGGAATTCGGATTATATTCAGAATCGTAGTGACGTATTGAGTGTGTATTTGGCTCAGACCATGACTTGTGGTGGCTAGCCAATGTACACGAAAGTGCTTTTATCCCACTATACAAGTCTGTTACCAATTAACTGGGGAAGGGATGGAAGGCTTGGCTGTCCTGCGCTAGTGTCAAGCCGGGATCTGATCCATGGGCCATGCATGCGGTGGTGCGCCACTTACAACTATACCACTTCCGCCCTACTACTATTATTAACTGTTATTAACGTTTTACATTATTACGTCCTTTTTGCTGTAGTTAGCTCTATCATTCTCGCAGTTTCAACCGGATGACGGTTAGGATTCACGAGCCGCATGTCGCGATCGCCGTCTTCAAAGCGCGGCTCAAACTAATACCAAGAGTACTCCCATCAGCGGCGAGGCAACTAACTAAAATCGCCCAGATCGGCAATACTGAATGAAACGTAATTGTAGAAATATTCAGAGGCGCTCTCACCAAAACGGGATTCCAATACGATCGTGCATTCATGATTGAATGCTGCGGAACACCACTAACACAGAAACGGCATCAGAAATTATGCAAAATTATTACAAAGGTTGTTTACTATATTGTTGTGAAAGTAACTCATTAGACTTTGTAATGCCACTTTCCGGTTTTTAGCTTGACTCCGATAAGATGTTATCACTTTCAAGTGCTGATGACCCGACTGCATCTGTGCAGGTGCCATTGCACAAACTTGATGGCGTTGTTCTTTCAAGTGCTGATGACCCGACTGCATCTGTGCAGGTGCCATTGCACAAAGACATTAGCACTGTTCGAAAAAATGGGATTGTTTGTGTAAACAGGTACAAACTTTTTATTGAGGCTTCTATGTTGGTGGCATGTAAGGTGTCTGAGCTTTGGCTGTGGTTGGATAGTATACGACTGTATCTCACTATCTAGCAAGCACCCCATTGCTCATGTCTCATGCTCTTAGGCGCTGCATGAAACAGTAAATATTAATAAATTCAAAAAAAAAAACTCTTGGTTTTCATCGTCCGGTAAAAACTGCTGAATTTTATAGCGTTCGAACATCCGAATGTTCTCCTACCGCATCCGCTT